AACAAACCATGTTCGACGAAATTTGCTGCAAAATATGAGAAAAACTAAAAAATAGGTAAATTAACATTTTCCCGCCGGGTTACTGTCGCACTCGTTTCAACTGTGTTTGTTTACGTTTTTTTTTGTTTACGCTTTCAGATATTTGTCTACAAACTTCGCATACACTTCGACTCAACCTTTTTTTCTCTGACAAGGATAATAACTCTCAAATTATTCTTGTCCCTACGACTGTCCCCTGTATGTGTTTCTATAAGAAATATTCTCAAAGAAATTTCAGAAAGGTAAAGAAAATTGGACAATATAACTATTTGAACATTAAAAACATGTGTAACAAAAAGAAAACAGGAACAAGTAATAAAACCATTAATCAGGGACTACTGGAAGAAGGAGCTAACAATGGCGGGTTTCAGATAACTCGGGCTCGGGTTTGAAGGATAATACTTCTTTTTGGGAGACGTCGTCTTCTCGTAGTGGAAACCCTTTTTCGCTTCGTGTTTATCAGCCACCCATGTCATTGAAACGTGTGTCGGCACTTGTAGGATTTCAGTCTTTTCGAGATATTTGTCGGTGCAGCACAAGCCCATACAATCTCTCTCTCCACAGAAAAGGGTAGTTAGCGGTGGTGGAGGATACTTCTTGATTGGAAGAGCCTGAAAGTAATTTTAGGCTTAAAAGAGTTTTAAAGTAATTTTATGGCATGATTCCAATGTGCATTGCGTTCGAGATTACGAGTGGACGGAGCTTGGTAGCGAACATTTTGAAAAAATCAAATTCGATGAAATTCATAGGAAAATCGGAAAACAATTGCTCCTAAGCTCCGCCCACTCTCAAATTTACGGATGCAAATGCGAAAAATTTAAATAAGATCATGGTAATAGCAAATTCAAGACTACAACGGCTCAAAAACGACTAAAAACTCGGCTTTAAACCTAAATTCCCATACCACGACAGTCTCCAAATCAGACCATTTGATTCCAAATTGCTTGCCCATATAATTATTTTGCTCTTTCGCACGGTTCCCACACTCGAAACGACCGATGTAAATGCTTCCAGTCTTTCGAACCTCAGCAATCCGATCCCGCACATCTTCGTCAGTCTGAAAACTTTGAAATTACTTTTTCTGCCCGAGATCAGATCCTAATCACCTTTGCTCCTTCAAATCGAACTTCGAGTATCGGAGTCGGCACGCGCGCAAACTCCTGTGGCATCCGCCTGACGCGATCTTTGCACGTCTCCACCGTCCGCAACATTCCCGTGTCGATTTCAAAGTAAATATCTCGTCTGGGTTGGGATTTCGGCACATGACACACGTGGCGAGCTCTTCGAAACATTGTGCCTTCAGATTCGAACTCGGGGAGACACAAAATGACGTTCACTCTCCAAAAATAAGCAGGCGAATTATTTCGGCGTTTTTCAAATTTCGTCTTTGTCATAGCATCTTCATCAGTACCAAATGTCGCTTTTCTCTCTTGGGGAAGTTTATCGAACCACTTTTTAAAAAACTCCGAAAATTCCTTCAACATGATTTTCGTGTCATATTTCTTCGGAATCATGTATGCACACATTCGTTCAGTACTGAATAAAACCTTTCCAATCTCCAGATATCCAACTTTATGATCGAAGGCGTTGATTCGCGAAATCATAAAGTTCGCAGTGACCGAGACATTGAAATATAGTTCGTAGTCGGGTAAATCTCCTGAGTTAGGTGGTGTTTTGTAGTCTTCATCCAAATTTCGAATCGTTCCGAACTGCAAATTTGAATACAATTTTAAATTCAAAAAATCAGTTTTTCATACCTTATCCACCTTATTCCTTGCATTCAGATTGGCCGGGACAAAATCAATATCCAGCTCAGTACAAGATAGCGATCTCTGCCGGTCCGCTTTCATAAATCCCCGTTTCCGATGCTCTTTCACCCACATCGCCACCGCCTTTTTGCTCCGAAACACTTCCAGACTTTTCAATTGCGTCGTCGTCTCCGTTTCTGCGTTGTGTGGATTCTGAATATCAAATTTTTAGTGAACATTTAAAATTCAAATCAACCATACAATGAAATCAACTGCATAATGTCCCAGCTTAGGAAGCGGTTTCAGCTTACTACCATCTCCGTAATAGACGTGGAGATTGTTGATGTACTGAGCATCGCAGTCTGAAAATTTTAATAATTTGATAATCGGGAATTTATGAAATTATTACTCGATCGTTGATTTGTGTGCTCTTCTCGATATTTTTTGTAGACTGGTTTTCCTTCTGCGGTGTCTTTATCGTCATAGAAGACCTCTTTATTGTACTTTTTATCATGCATCTTTCTTTGCTCTTCATCTGGAGCTCGTTGACTAATCAAGCCTCTTCCGGAGAAAAATTCGGCGATGTACGCTTCGCAGTCGGCTGCAAGCTGCTCGTTTTCAGTAGATTCTTTCGAAAAACATGCAGAAGGTCTCGAAAGCATTATTAGAGCTGAAAATTATAAACTGAATACATAAAAATTGAGGACAATCTCGGTGAAAAGCCTAAAAATTTGAAATTTGGGAAAAATTGCATCAACTCATATTTACACCGATACGCAAAAATGCACAAGATTACTGTAGCGAGGAATATTAGCTGTTTTTGTTTTTTTTGTTCTTGAGTTATTCTTTGAGCTGTCTCAAACGAATAGATAAGTCTTTTGACAGCTGAAAAATTATTAGATGTTTGTTTTCTGCTTTCCGAAAAAAAAAATCAAAAGCTCAATACCCCAAACTGCTATTTGAATTACCACTGAGACCCCGGAAATTCCGGGGAAAAAAAAACTCCGGGAAAAAAAAACTCCGGACAACTGGTCTGTTAATCGGAGCTCCATGAATGAGATCCTGAACAAAAATCTATATTAATCTTTCAAAAATCAGATTTCTTACAGTATATTTCTTGACACGCAAACTGGTTGGCCGTTCTCCGAGAACAAAGGAAATTGCATCCATCAAATTCGATTTTCCAGATCCATTCGGTCCAATAATAGCAGTAAATCTGCTGAATGGGCCGATAATATGCTTTCCTTTGTAAGATTTGAAATTCTCGATTTCCAAAGTGTGAAGATGGCCTTTTCCGGGTAAACTGTCTACGGTAGAGGTGAGACCATTACTGGTAGTTCCGGTACCGACGGAGCTACCTCCACGCATTCTAGGTGCTGAAAACTGGGCTTGAGCATGAAAAATAAAGACTGAACATTAAAAAAAATATATATCATGGTGACAAAACCACTGTTTTCCAGAAAATAAAGAATAAATTATATGAAATGTACAAGAACTTTATGAAAAATCGACAGTTTTGAGACCGGTATTGAGAAATAGTTGTCATAATGCATTTTCCCGATTGCTTGGTGATCCTTGTGTTGAGCCATCGACGCGTCGAAGGAAATTAACAAGGTTGATTGGAGAAACGCCCATCGCAAGTAACTGGAATGATATATTTTACAGCTTATACCAGATGTTCGTAATTTTCAGTTTCTTTTGTTTTTTGCAAAGATTTTTGGAATTTTCGAATAAATTTGAATTAGTTTGTGAATTATTCGATAAGAGGAAAACCTCACTTTTTCCACTGCCACTATTTGATCAATTGTCAAAAAAACATTGAGAAACTTTGCCACTTCCATTGCTTCTGCAATTTTTCGAAGTAAAAATTTGAATTCAGTTTAAAAACAAAGCTAAACCAACTTACGTTGTGTATCCTTCTTCAGCTCGCTCATCCTCGCCGAATTTTGAGTTTTCGAAGCGATGAGTGTGTTTCTAAAACAATCAAAACGATTTTAATTGATTTTATATAAGAAACTATGTGGAAATATCAATTTTAAGCTTGAAATCAACCATTATTGAGAAGCCGACACCAAGAAAATTTCAAAATTAAAACTCGCTGAACAACGCGCGCATGTTATAGCGGAGCGTCGTTGTTTTCTTCTATTAGTGGGAAGCAGACATGAGCGGAATAAAATTTTTGAAAATCCGGAAGAAGGAATAAGGAATAAGGAACAAAAATTGAAAATC